AACGACTCTGTCTAAGCCTTTGTGTGTGTGTGTGTGTGTGTGTGTGTGTGTGTGTGTGTGTGTGTGAATATTAAAAAAGGAGAATATTACAAATATCTTTTATCATAATAAAAATGTCTTTTTTGTTCCAAAGATGAACAAGTCTTATGGGTTTAAAATGACATGAGAGTGAGTAAATTATTCTATAATATTATAAATATTATGTCATTATATATAGAAAACTATAATGTCTGATTTCACTTGTAGCATTTAAAATGACTGATTTTCCTTTTTTTAATGTTGCATTTTTATTTAGACAAAATATTACAAAATTTTAATTTTTTTAAATTAAATTTTAATAACAGCTGTTTCCTGTTTATTGACAATAGTGGCATTTATATGAATGTAATCACCAGTTTATCATATAGAACAATTAACACTGGTGCATCCCAATTAGACAACAGACAGAAAAAGTAAACATGTTGTCAATATTATGAGTGTCATTTGAATTTGTCTATTTTATTTAAATGCCAGGGTTGGAGAATACCTTTTCAGCTGGGTGTGCAGGGAAGACGCCAACCTCACTGTCTCTTCCAGCTCCTTCACTAGTTTGTTTCTTCTATAATGCAGCTTTAACCTGAACAAAGCAACAGAGAGAACTTTGTGACAATTGTTTATTATTGGAGTTAGGAATTGGAACAGACCAACTTCTCTTTAACAAGAGAAGTGGACACTTGCTTTTCAAAAAGTTAACAGTTTTCACATGGACGATTTAAAAAAATTGTGAAATGGGGTATATGTCGAACGCACTGTTGCCAACTCTCGCAAGATAAATAAGCAACCGCAGCTTCTAAAACAAGCCCAATATTTTTTTGATGATTTATTATCATCAATATTATTTATTATCAATTATTTATTACCAATATATGAGCCTGCAACATATTAAACTGAAACCACTCTTTTTATCTGAAAAGCAAAAACAGAAGTTATTTTACAGAAATCAGCAAACTGCAACAAAGGGGGAACAAAACTCATCTCCAATCACCTGTGTGCAGAATAGGATTGGAGAGATGGAAAAGGAGAAAAACACAAGAGCTTCAAAGGGAAGCTGTAACATAGCCACCTATTTATAGCCTACTAAAATATAGGCTATTCGAACCAAATGTATTTACTCTTAGTATTAGTATAGGACAACTTGTTTTTTATTACAGCCCGTGATAATTAATACATTACAAAAACATTGCAAAAATTACAAAATTAGGCTAAAAGAAAGTCATCCCAAGCCTCTACATCTACTTCTATCATCGCTTGAATTACAGCGTCACGCGCCTTCTTTTTGAACGTGATTTTTTTCCAATGAGGGGGAGGAGGGGGCATAAAATTTGGCAAATTATGCTGCAGCACTTTTATATTATTGCACTGGTTGGCTATTAACTGTGAGCAGACAGAGTATCAATCAATGCATTGGAGGATACGGCGAACATAAAGAAATGAAGTTGCTTGTCAGATTTCCCTAACAAGCAACCATATTTTTTAAAATAAGCCCAAAAAACCGCAACATGGGATTTTTTCAAGCAACTTAACAAAAAAAGAAGCCCAAAGTCGCATATAATACGCAGACTTGGCAACTCTGGTTGAACGTCACCTGACTAAACCTGGAAAACAGGTCACATCACATCCGCTTGTCGGAGAAAGTGTTAACAGCCATGAACTAATGGCGATATCTAAGGAATTTTAAGGTAATCAGCTAACCTAGCTAGTTGTTTTTATTGTTGCCATTTTACTCAATTTTAATATCTAAATGTTAGTGAAAAGAATAAAAATAAAAAAACTTTTGGATATCAGTCTGCATATGTGATGGACATTGGTTATGACAATCTTTGGTATCTCCTTTGAAGGCATCTTGAGTAAAACAGCTCCATATTTAACAATGCACATACAACTCTTGAACCGGAAGCGATGAGACCTGTTTTACAGAACACGGAAGTCTGTTGCGCATAACCCCCATTGAAGAGGCTCTTCATCCATATGATGGGCTCTTTTGGCCATTAACATCTTTTTTTTATAGTAAATAAAATTATAATATTATAAATACATTTATTCATACAATAAGTAAATAATAATCACCTCACTTCAACAAATCTTGCACAATTCCTGTATGACAAAATGGAATTAATTTGAACTCCATTTACTTCTTTAATCGATGTCTCTATAGTCTTCCTGTAGGTCAAATAAAATGATGTTGGTTTATTATTAAACGGCAGCAATGAAGAAGGTGCCCATTGTGTTCAACCTAGATCCAGCGTTTTATGCTGATCATGTTACAGGAAGAGCGCAGAACGCCAAGCTAAACGAGGATACAGTAACTAGAGTAGAGAACAAGGACCCTGTTCAAATAACTGAGAGGGAACGAGTGAGAAAAAGACCAACAGAAAGAGAGAGAGGATGAAAGATAGTGAGTCAAGCAAAAAAAAGTCTAATTGGTTCTCTCACCTAGGCAACCTGATCTCAAAACACAGATGCCTCTTCTAAGAGTTCAAGACTCGCTACAAACCACAAGCAGTAAACTAGTAGACTTTTATAAATCATTTGCATACATGATGTTCAACTTCAGCCATTTTAGCTGTAGATTTACAAAACCAAATTGCGCAGTTAAAATGGATGGGGCCTGCAGTAAAGTAAATGAGGGACAAAGTGACTGCTGTGCTGCTCGTTTTGCATAATGCAAAATATCTTTGGCAGTGTGGTCTCTGCAAGCAAAGTTTTTAGTGAATATTTTTTTAAGTTCTGAAAGAGGCTTTCAAAATTGGATTTGATTAATTCTTGTTTAGTAGATTTTCCTTGACACCAATGTGTTGAAAGCACAGCTGTAATGTCCCAGATAAGAGCCCTGTTGTGTTTCCACGATAATGACGCCTTTATTGTTCACATTAGAATGGATCTCTTCATGTCAGTGTTTTGACATTCCATGCTCCCAGTAGGAGCTTCTTTTTTGAATTCGGTTTTCTTCAATCTGTTCTTCACCCAAGTGCTGCTACATGCTGTGAGAGAACTGAACCTGGACGTGTACACCAGGTACCATCTCGACGGCTCACTGTTCAACCTTCACCATCTGGCCACCAAAACAAAGACACTGGAGAGGTTCTTCACAGAAGCTCTCTTTGCAGACGACTGTGCTTTCATGGCGCATCAAGAGAATCATCTACAGACCATCGTAGACAGATTCTCCGTAGCAACAAAGCTGTTTGGCTTAACTATCAGCCTCAGTAAGACAGAAGTTCTATACCAGCCTGCACCAGGAAGATCAGCAGACCAGCCATGCATCACCATCGATGGCACCCAGCTCTCAAATGTTACCACCTTCAAGTACCTGGGCAGCACAATCTCCAGCGACGGATCCCTGGACCAGGAGATCAATACCAGAGTCCAAAAGGCCAGTCAAGTTCTACAACGTAAGAACTCAAGTTCTAAACGCTCCAAAGTTCTACAACACAGCGGCATTCGCCTCTCCACAAAGCTCAAAGTATACAGAGCAGTGGTCCTCACCTCACTTCTGTATGGCTGCGAAACATGGACGCGGAGACATATCAAACAGCTGGAGCAGTTCCACCATCGCTCACTCCGGTCAATCATGAAGATCTGCTGGCAGGACAAAGTCACCAACTAAGATGTCCTGGACAGAGCTGGCTCAACAAGCATTGAATCCATGATTCTGAAAATGCAGCTCCGATGGTCTGGCCATGTCATCCGCAAGGACCCGCAGAGGATGCCAAAGCAGGTGTTCTTTGGAGAGTTGGCCACAGGGTCCAGACACCAAGAGCGCCCAAAGAAAAGATTCAAAGATAACCTCAAGTCACATCTAAAATGGGCCAACCTGAACCCAAAGCAGCTGGAGCTTGCCGCCTGACAGAGCCAGTTGGCACGCCCGAATTAATAAAGCAGCCACCGCATTTGAAGAGGATCGTCACCATCATATTGCAGCTGCAAGAGAACGCAGACACAGAGCTGCCGCTGCCCCTGCTCCAACTACTGGTGAACCTTGCCCCCTCTGCAACCACCTCTGTGCTTCTGCCTTTGGGCTTCGAAGCCACATGAGGATCCACAGATGACTGCACAAAGCCTTTATCGTCATTCTAGACCCCCGAGAGACTACCGGACTGAGAATGGATCTCTAAGCTTCAGGTAAACTGCTCTAACATGCTGTCAGGGAAAGGGAAAAACACTGGGTCAGACATTTATTTGTGCAGTATATTAAGTGGATGGTGTAGCCTGGTAAAGATCAAAAGTTAAAAACTAAAAGACTGCAGTATCAAATTCTGCCACAGACGATCCTCGTTCCCACACCTTCTGGCTAATAAATTTACAAGAATTTCCCATGACTTTTACAATAATTTGCCATGGCTGGATAATGATTTTATTTATTTGTTTATTTATTCATAGCTGAAGAAATACTTTAAAGCAGAGAATAAATGGGGAAAAAAAATGCAGGCCTGCAAGAACGTCCCATTACGATTCTTTGGTTCCTTCACATGACCGGGAAAAAAACAATTACTACAAGAACCAAATACAGTGAACTCTGCTGGTCCAGTTCTTCATCTTACCTCTCGGTCAGTGCTTTGCTCTGGTTGTCCCGTGCAGCTTGCAGGTCCTTCTCGAGTCGCTTCTTTTCAGACTCGATCTTCTCTGCCTCGCTGGGTGCGCGCTTGCACGGCGTTACATACTGCAGCTCCTTTAGCAGTTCTTCCTTCTCATTGATGAGGATCAGGCGATCTCTCTCCGGGTCCAGAAGGCCTGGCCACGCCTCGCTATCCAGCTTGGCAATCTGGACCTCAATATTTGCAATCCTGATGGCAGCAAAATGAATAAAGCAATGTAAAAAAAAGTTAAGCATTAAACTATTGTCATAGACAAACATAGCAATTGGCTGATTTCAAAATCAATTTACAGCCTATTCAGCTTTATATGTGTGTGTATATACATGTGTGTGTGTGTGTGTGTGTACAGGTCAAAAGTTTGGAATAATTAAGATTTTGTCAATGTTTCTGAATTAAGTCTCTTATGCTCACTGATGCTGCATTATTTAATTTAATATACAGTAAAACAGTAGTTTTCTATTTAATATAATTTAAAATATAATGTATTCCTGTGATGGCAAAGCTGAATTTTCAGCAGCCATTACTCCAGTCTTTACGGTCACATGATCCTTCCAGGGTTTCTACAGACATGAACAAGTTAAATTTAAGACTTTTATTCAAAAACAATTTTTTTTTGTATCATTTAGATACTAGATTTTTATTTACCATTTTGAATGTAATCATTTTAGGTTTTACATTCTTTTCAGTTTTCATTTTAATGTTACTTACAGTTTTAGTAAATTTGATGTGTTTTTGTCATTTTTATTAGTTTTTCAGGGTTTCTGCAGACTTGAACAAGTTAACTTTAAGACTTTTTAAGACCTTTTTAATACCACCTTATATGAAATTTAAGACCTAAACCGGTAATGGACATACACATTTTATTAAATGCATATGTAATATTTAATGTGTTTAAATTAAAAAGAAAACAAAATTACTTTGCTGGAAAAAATGATATTTATTACTACGATATACAGTGAACTTTTAATGTCAGCAGACAATATTCCATACAAAATATCCCAGCAAAATATCTGCATCACTGAGATTTTTGGTGGAGTAAACAATTTATTCTGAAGCAATATTTTCATCAGTGTTCTATCAGCTTTTACATACTTAAATCTGCATATTTTTATTTACCTTCGTACTAAACTACCAGTAAGTGGCGGCAAGTCACTTAATGAGTGAGTCATTGAGTCATTCATTCAACTGATTGAATGTGTTATCATGCTGGTATCTTAAGGACTTTTGTGGACAGCTGACGCCTAAAGTTTTTCATATTCTTCATATTCTGTGTGGTGGTCAGATAGAAATTAATATTTTCCAATAAGTTTAAATAGATTTTTACCTTTTATGGGTATTTTACCTTTATAAAGCCATTTTTCTATAAGTGTGCATTATCTTTTGAGTCAAATTCTTACATTTAATCAGTGAATTAGAATAATAAGACATTTGGGCTGTTACCAAGCAAATGAAATGAGTATCAACAAAATTCATCTTTGCAATCCAGACATAAGCTGCACCTGAAGTGGCATTTAGATGTGTTTACACACTGTTTAATGCA